TTTTGAACTCCAAGGCCAAACTTCCCTGTTGTTCCTTTTATCTCTTGACTCCCTACCTTAGCATTCCAGTCCCCTAGAATGAAAAGAACATCTTTCTTTGGTGTCAGTTCTAGAAGATGTTGTAAATCTTCATAAAATTGTTCAATTTCAGTCTCCTCAGCAATGGTGGTTAGTGCATAAACTTGGATTATTGTGATGTTGAAAGGTCTGCCTTGGATTCGAATTGACATCATTCTATCATTTTTGAGATTATAACCCCTTATAGCTTTTCCCACTTTTTTATTGACTATGAGAGCTACTCCATTCCTTCTATGGGATTCTTGCCCACAATAGTAGATATGATAATCATCTGAGTTGAATTCACCAATTCCTGTGCATTTTAGTTCACTGATGCCCAGGATGTCAATGTTTATTCTTGCCATCTCCTGTTTGACCACATCCAGCTTCCCAAGGTTCATAGATCTTACATTCCAGTTTCCTGTGCAGTATTTTTCTTTACAGCATCGGACTTTCCTTTCACTTCCAGGCACGTCCACAGCTGAGCGTCCTTTTGGCTTTGGCCGAACCACTTCATTAGCTCTGGAGCTACTTGTACTTGTTCTCCGCTCTTCCTCAGTAGCATGTTGGACGCCTTGCGACCTGAGGGGCCCATCTTCCAGCGTCATATTTTTAAGCTTTTTGTTTCTGATCATGGGGCGTTCTTGGCAATATTACTGGAGTGGCATTGCCATTGCCATTTCCTACTCCATGTGGATCGCGTTCAGTCAGAACTCTCCACTATGACCTGTCCATCTTGGTTGTTCCTGCACGGCATAGCCCATAGCTTCTCTGAATTACTCAAGCCCCTTCGCCATGACAAGACAGCAATCCATGAAAGGGCATCACATCTTAATAACCATTTAATGCAGAATGAAATTTATTTTTAAAAAGGATGATTCAAAATATTTTGAGGTTTTTTTCTTTCGTTTTTGGTAACTTTTTATTTTTGTTTTTGGGGTGTTTTTGTTTTTGCTTTTGCTTCTTCCTTACTAATGGTCATTTATGTAAATGGGACTTTCTCCTTCCCCTACCCACGCACAGCAATTGTGCAAATGGTTTAGATAGCTCAGTGGTTTAGGTACAAGCTGGGAGTTCAAGTCCCCACTTGACAAGGGTTGGACTCAGTGATCCATAGGGTCCCTTCCAACTCTGCAGTTCTATGATGATGATGAACATCCCCAAATCGTTCCATATCCCCATTAGTGTGAAATTACAGTTTTGCATTTAATGTATAGTGGAAGAGAAATTATTTTTAGTCTTAAGAAGGAACAACCTTGTGAGGAAATAGCATATTTACAAATTACTGCCTTTTTCTCCTCCAGGGACAAAGGCTTCATTTTCAGATTGGAAACTAATTTTGGTATGTAAACACTGGGGCCTCAGCTATAAATATGCCAATATGTGCAGACTTGCCTCGGCTTCAGGTCTTAAAACATGAGGTAGAATTTCAACACATCAGCAGAGGCAGTTAATATTACACAACCTCTTTTGACAAACTACTATTGTACTGTAATGTATTAAGCTTTAAGCCCTGTAAGGTTAAGTGTAAGTATTAAGGGGACTAATCAGCCCTGGGTTTTAAGTTCTGTTCCTTTCTGGGTTTGACAGATTGCACAACCATTGGCTTTGATACAGTTGTAAATTCATACCTTTTTCAGAAGTATGGCTGGTGGGGAAATGGATTCTGGACTTTGATTTCTTGTAAACGTTACAGATTCTTACAGAAGAATTCATCCTGCAAGGATGTACTAACTTTTGCCTCAACATTTGTTTTAGAACATGGCAGTTCTACAGTTGATGAATTTATAGCTAACAACATGTCACTTTGTGCTGATTGCTCAGAAGATGACTTAATCAATGTTACTTTTGAAGTTTGCAACACCAAAGAAAGAGGTAGGTTTGATACTAATTTATAACTTTATCCTTCAGACAGTTAGGTGAATAGAGACACATTAGCAATGAAAGTTTGAATATGTAGACTCCTGTTGAACTTCCAAAATTAAAATCTGTTTACTCCATCTTGCTCCTGCTTCTTCTCCCACCTCTTTAATTTTCTTACAGAAGCAGTACCTGCATCTGTTTTTATCAAGTATTTGGAGGATGTGACTGGACATAACCATGAAAACAGTAAACTTCTCTTGCTATATAATATGCTGGATCCTGCAAGGCAAAATGTTCTTGTTGACAGAAAAACCTTTCATGCTACTATGAAAAAGTGGATTACCATATGCTATCAAGATGGGTAAATGAACATTCACTTTTGTCTGTCCTATAATCTTACTGGCTCTAACCAAGGCAAATTTGTGCACTGCAAATGTTGGAAGGGTTGTAAGATGATAATCTACAGGTACTACTTGTATTGGAGTGGGGAGTGTGTGCAACTCCCATCAGGACCTCAGTGATAGTCTACCAGTCTTTTTTTTAACTTTCCCTGACCTTCTCCTGAGGAGCAGAGGAAGTGTTCAGTTTACCAATAGGAATGGATCACTTTTTAAACCACTTCACAATATTGGAAATTCTAACTGGAAAGAGCTTTGACAGCTCGGAAAACACACTTTGGGTCAATTCCCAGTGATCACGTATGCTGGAAACAGAACAAAACAGAGGAATCCTACCTAGACCAGAAACGTAGAAGCCCCTGACAAGGTCTCAGAAAGGTGCAGGTAGGACCACTTTGGGGATGATTTAGTTTACTTTAGTTCATTTGACAGAAGAATGAACAAACCAACCCATCTCTATGGTGGACCAAAGTGCTGGATGAATGCCCATCTGAAGTAGCCTTAACTCCCCCATTCTGTAGATGTGTTTTCTGCATCTGGTGTTTGTGTTTCTGTTGTGTTTCAAATTTTAAAAAATGTACAAGTGCTTGGAACACTATGAAATCAGTTTTACTTTTTACTTTCATAACTATCTTTACTTGATAAAAGATTTATTATTCTTTTAATCTAGTATTTCAGAAACTGAACCTGAAAAGCATGGAAGTACCACTAACAAAAAATTTCAGTGCAATGTTGGTGAGTATTGCAAGAGACAATAATTTATTTTCCAGTTATGCATAAGCCACTACAAATGTGTCTGATTGTAAGAAGCAGTCATAATTCCTCCCATCCACCCCTCTGGTATTACAGATGTGGTCATACTTCATGATGCAGATCTTGCCAATTCTCTACTCTTCTCCTTATTATTGAGGCAGGTCTTGCTGATTTAGAATTGGGCTTGTGGATCACCCTAGGAGAGATGTAATCCAATCACCCTGTTGATAACATATACCTGTAACCAGTGTGAAGACCATTATCCAGAGATATTGTTGTAGTGGATAGAACACAGAACGTATAGGGAGGGAGGCTTGAAGAGGAACACCGAGGGAGGCCCAAAGAGAAAGAACAAGAAAGTAGGCATTCTCAGCAGTGGCCCCTCGCCTCTGGAACAATCCCCCCCCACTCAGTTAGCCACAGCAAGATATAAAAAACTTATACAAATACCAAAAGAATTCCGTCCAATGAAACTCAGGTATATTTACTATTAACTGTCTTAAATGTACCTATCAGTTTTGCTGACATTTAAAAAAATTATATTTGCTTTATGCATCTATTTCAGGATGCTTGTGTTGCATTTTTCTTTTTAAAAAAATTAGTTTTGAGCAACTGGATCATGGAAAGTTTCATTCTGGATTGCAGTTTCTGTCTTGCTAGCTGGATGGTTCTGGATGTTTTGGTTCAACAACCAAATTTTCTAAGCTCTGCCAATACTTTCAAACTGATTCGTTGTATTTTGCATACAAAGTCTAATATGAAAAGTTTTTCCTCTTTTTTGTGTGCAGATATGATCTCTTCCATATCTGATGAAGGTGTTGAAATATTTGAAGGAAGAGCCGAAGATTCAGAAATGTGTGTAGGCAAGCTATATTTTTGAACACAAAAGATTCTTTAGCTGTTTGTGTTGAACTAAGTGTGTTGCACCAAGCTGTTGGTTAATATTGTCTTATTTGCTTTTAAACAAAAATCATTTAAATGGATGTAAAATGATTTAGAAGTATTTCATGCAAGAACGGGAAAGCAATCATCAACATATTTAATTGCTTCTCTAAAAGAGCTTGGACATATACATATAGAGATGGATTGGGACTCTTGAACCTACATTAGTACACTGGATTAATTGTTTGTAAGTCTTTTAAATGCTTTAAATTGAGAGAAAGATACCTAATACTGAGAAGTGCCATTCTGTTTCATTAAGGGCATGTGACTTAAGCAGCAGCATTGAAGATTTAAAATACATGAATCAGAAAATGACTAAGCAGTTATTGAAAATGCAGAAAGTAGTGGGAGAATCTGAGGAAACCTGTTTACAACTGAGAGATGATGTTGCAGAGCTGCGAGACAGGCTAGCAAGGTATAATTCCTATTTTTTCTCTCTACTTTCTGTGAACATTTTCTTGATTTTCCTATACAGTATCTGGAAGCATTGTTTGATTGGCCCATATTTGTTATATAAAAGTCATTTAAAATATCCAACTCATTAACTGGACCATTTAAAGGCACATGTTCAGATTTCAGAATGGTTTATTATACAGTACAGTATTTGGGTGCTGGTATTATTGTATTTATTTTTATTGAAAACTGGTTTTTAAAAAGAAAAGTGCTACACTAGTGTTCTGAAATAAATAGGTTTATCCTACTGAATTTATTGTGACTTCCAGGTTATTGTACATAGGGTTGCAGTGTTGATATTATACAACCTGTAGTTTTTTTGTTTGTCTTGTCCTTATATCTTTGATCATATGTAGCCTTTGCTGTTGCTTAAGAGCTTTTCAAATTATCTGCTGAAGTATTTCTATTTTTGTTCCAGCATGCAAAAACCTCTAGGAAAGTTCAAATACATATATAAAGAACTTGAAGACACCAGAAATGGAATGGCAAACTTGAATGAAGAAAATCATATGATTTGTGAATGCATCACAAGACTGGTATTTAAGATCCTTCCTTCCCTGAGAATCTTATTTTGAGACAGAGTATGAATTTATTACAGTTAAAATTTGACTGCCCATTGGTTTCAGTTTATTACTCCCAAAATCCAGCTCTGAATGCAAGCTTTTCATCAGCTATCATGTCCACCTTGTTCATTTAAAATATTTCAGTTTATTACTCCCAAAATCCAACTCTGAATACAAGCTTTTCATCAGCTACCATGTCCACTTTGTTTGTTTAAAATATTCCCCCCATAGTGTACAGGTACTTAGTCCCTTAAGAACTTAATGCCTCTAACCCAACTAAACATACAATTGGTGGGCTATACAATTGCCATACAATTGCCATACATAAAATGTAGAATGACACGCATTTCGTTCATTGTCCCCTTACCCCGGAATAACCACGTGAGACCAAGTGTATGGGTTAAACACAGGCCACACTTTATTAAATTCTATTCAGTTCTCATGAATCTTGCCAGTCCTTCAGCATGCCATACATAAAATGTAGAATGACACGCATTTCGTTCATTGTCCCCTTACCCCGGAATAACCACGTGAGACCAAGTGTATGGGTTAAACACAGGCCACACTTTATTAAATTCTATTCAGTTCTCATGAATATTGCCAGTCCTTCAGCAAAAGGGGGGTCCTGCTGTAGTGTGGATTCAGGTTTCCATCTTGGGTTCTCGATTGACCATCGAACGGCAAAGAGGCTGAACCCAGGCCTCAGTTATCCCCTTCTTAATTACCGTGGGATAACTACCGGTCCCCATTTTGCCACGGGCCCCTTGCCCCTCTCTCTGTGCCAACTGTGGGTCCCAGCGCATCTTTCCCTCCAAGCACCATAATCGCCAGATCCGCAGTCCTGGGAATTCAGATGAGCTACAATTTCCTGTCATTACCATCAAATCCCAGTTCCAATACCTGCCCAATCCGCACTACGTGCCACAGCATTGGGACTAGCCGGTCTATGTCCCTTGCTCCCCATCAAGCTGCTCCAGCTCCAAGAGCAGCCCCCCCCCCTTGATGTCCTCCAGAAAGACATCCAAACCACGTTCAGATAGATGAACGCCATCTGGCCTAAATAATTCTGGCTTACTGAGCCATATCCCTTGGTGGCCGACCACTGCTTCCAGGCCACCACAAACCGCTCTGCAAACTTCCCTGTTAAGACTCCGTTGGGCAGTGTTCACAGACCAAAACTGCCTCGCCCCTTTCCAAAACAGGCAAAGGATGACTGTTGACCATATGATCTGCATTTCCGGGTAAGTACCTCTCAGCCAAGTGAGGTCCTGGATCACATTGTTTACCAGGGACCCCCTCAGGTACCGTGCCAAATCATTGCCACCCAGGTGTATCACCAACACGTCTGGCGGGTGTCGTCCAATGGCAGCTGCTTGGCAAAGTTGTCTCCACAGCATGCCATGGTGCCCTCTCCATTCCACGTGAGCCCACCCCTCAAGTTCCAGGTTGCTCCCCCATGGGAATGCGGCAGCATGGGCTATCTATATATGTTGCCATATATAACATGTAGAATGACACACATTTCGGTCATTCCATTCGGTTTCATATCTTCTTCTCCCATGAACTCACCAACAGATGTTGGCTTGCACTTAAATTTTGTTGGAAAAAGTTTTCAAAAAAACAATCTGGAAATATAGTATATGAAATGGGCACTCTTCAGCAACTGATACATCAGTAGATGCCCAAGAAAGCAGATGGCAGGCTAGACTCTCAGGGCCCTGGGTAAATAAGGGACCCTCCCTCTAACCTCCTGTGTAATCCCTGGGTATCTTTAAAAAATTACTTACTTTGAGCCCAAATGACCTTCATCAATGCCCATCATAATGATTGTAGAATTACCAAACTAGCTGCTGAGGGCTACAGGAGAAGCTTCTTGTATAGGGAGGGTGCATAGACACAGCTGGTGGATTCAGAGTTACCAATAAGGCAAATCAAAATAAGCAATTATAACCTGTAGCAAATCATAACCTGTGGGACTGGAGCACATTTCACAGGAGTTGTTGCGTGTAGCTTTTTAAACCCCTTTCTTTGTCTCTTGGAAATTGACAGGAAACCAGCAGTATTACACAGGAATGTTTTCACAAATATTCACCAACCATAACCATGATTCACCAGATTGGGGAGCTCAGGTCAAGAGGGGGAGGGAATCTTTAATGCCTGACCATTGGAACTAGTGCCAGCCATTCTCAGACATTAAAGATTCCATCTTCTGTAAGGCTTCTCCAGGATGAAAAGGGTCCATAGGAAGCCTCAAAACCTGAGTGGGAGAATTAAAAACTTTTAATCAGATAAAAGGCTCAATTGATTACATCATTAGCTTTGTCTGTGTGGAGCTGTGCCAGTAGGATTTTAGCCACTGTCCATTTTTCAAACTTGATTTTATTCTTTAATGAAGATTATAAATATCTTGAGAGCTAGTTTTTAGTGGAAAGGATGTACAAATGTAATAAACAATAATAATACATGTAAGTTCCACTGACTTCACTGAGGTTTATCTCTAGGAAGCGTATAAAGGATTGTACCTTGGTTCATTTTCTTCTCTGCTAATGCTTTTGCATCTACTTTCTCCTTACAACAGAAGAAAAGTGTTGAATTCCTCACTACAAAACTTAATTCATTAGAAGAGGTATGTTGAAGATTTCTATTTTTAACAGAATAGGCCCCTGAAGATGAAAATCTTAAACTGATGTCGAAATCTCACAGAAGACATGCAGTTCTTGTAGCAACAGTATGAATCTGTACAAGAAGCACGCGTCATTCGGTGTCTCCCAAAGCCTAATAGAAGTACCTATTTGAATAATCTATATCCCATAATATTAACTTATCTTCAACTTTTCCTTCATCCAGTTTTCAAAATAAAAAATGCTGGAGAAGGGTGCATTGTATTCATATTTGTCAATTTTCTTTTGCTTTCTTGATCTAAAGTGTTGTTGCATATATAAATGGTCAAAAATACCTTCAATTCTTCAATTATTTCTTGTGAAATCATATTAATTATCTGTTGGAACAATAAATTGATCTTTGTCTCCCAGATGTCCTCATTTGTAAACACACACACATGCACATACACTTGCCATCTACGTATGCGTATACACATGTTATGCTCTGGCTATGCAACAGAAACAATGTCAGTCTCAGTGGCAGAATGCTGCTGATTAAATATTTTTTTTATTTTGGGGTATACATGACTTGCACACAATGAAATGAAGTCATGTGAACCGACAAAACTGAAGAAGGAAGTTTTTAATCAGTAGCAATCTGACGCTGACAATGTCATTCTCATTGTGCAAGTGGACCCCCCAATGGATTCTGGCCTATTTACATATATTGACTTTTAAATTTCTTTCTAATCAGTACTGTTCTCTCTGTTTGCCATCAGAATGCAAAGACCCACAAAGAAGGAAATCCTTCAGTCTGTGAAACATCATTTCCACATTCATGGGAACCCTTTCAAAACTTCTTACAAGAAATAAAATCTCAGAAAGATAGCATGTTAAAATCCTTGATGGAAGAAATGGTATGTAGTTCTGCTCTGGAATCAATTTGTGGCCAGATATGAATTATTGAATATTTTCACGGACATTTCATATACGGAGGCTCTCAAAACAGTTAAAATGTTCACATATACACCTTATACTGCTGCCTACCAGGCTCAGACTTTTATTTTATTGATTCCTCATTACTTTTTTGTTGTAAGGGAAGTGCACAATGGACAAGTGTGCATTTATTTTAACAAGGTTTGTATTTTCTTTGTAGAAAATGGAAAACAAATATTATTAATGTTATATTTGTTAAAAAAAATCATAAATGTTAGCTGTGTCAGAAGAGGGCAGTATTCAGTTACCTAATCAGAACGTAAAGTATTCCTTAAGGCTTTAGTCTTATAGTATAAGTCTTTGTGGGAATGTTATATTCTGTGAACCAAGACTGCAAGTAGTTGTATGCTTATCCACAAGTTTTTTTTACAATTAAAAGGAAAACAATATTGGGGCTCTGGGACTTGACAGCATCTTTTGTTCTATATATTTATGTTGTTATGTTATGCATTCATCTCTTGATCTTTCTAGGAGCTAAAACAGAAAATGGATCACTCATTAGCAGTTGTAACGCAGGCACTGTACAGCTTGTGCCCTTTCATCAAGACATGGAACAAAGTTTTAGAGAATTTAGAGACACTTCTACAGTTACCACAGTTTTCGGCAAAACTGGCTTGGTATGATTTGTGTTTCATATGATTTGAAAGGCTACACTCTGAAAAGATACTTCGCAATGAATTCTGCTGACATCAAGAGGGCTTGCTTCTAAGTAACGAGATTAGAATTGGACTGTAGCATACTATATATTTGTTGTTAGCCACCCAGAATAGACTTCGGTCTAGATGGGTGGGGTATACTGTAAATTAAATAAATAAAATAAGTAATAAATAAATATAGTGCTGCAAGCAGTAGTGCTATCTGAACACATATTTGTGAGGTCACATTGTCTGGCCACAATATGTTTGACAATGTGATTGTGAATGACATGATAAAGTGAAGGAACTGATACTGTGACTCCATCTGAAATGAAGTATAAACATTCTGTTCTTCTGATTTTATATTTTACAGTCATAATCCTTTACTTTAGATTGTTGAAGTTTTGTTCCTTGTTCTGTTCTGAATAAATCTAGAATCTATTCAGACAAAGAGGTAGCAGACAAACAGATTTCACTTTACAGACAGTTTTTTAGAAGGTGGGAGACAGACATAGGAATCCCTATGCAAAGCCAGGCTGGATATCAAGGATGATGTTGCTTGGGACACTGCAAGATGTCATAGTTGGCCAAGTAGCTGTGCAGCTAAGAGTAATGTCATACGAGTTACTGAGTGAGGCCCAGATTAATGATTCCATGTAGGGACTCTCCGTCCTCTGGTCATAATAAGCCCACACTGAAATAAGAAATTCTTATATTAACTAAAGGAGTGTCAGACAGAAAAAGAGGAGAAACCAATTCAGTGTCTTAAACAAAGGGAAACCTTAAACATTGTAAACAAATCTTATTTTCAGCATGAAAGGAAAACCTTTCCAGATAACTAAAAATGTTCCCCTAAAGACCACTGCCTGAATATATTCTTTTAGTACTTTATTTTTTGTGGAAATGAAGCACCACAATGCTTTGTGTTTAACAATATGCCTACAGGGATAGTCATGGTGGACACAGATATGTAATGCCACCTGGGTCTTCTCTTGTCTAGCTGATAGGTCTTCTCCTTGGAGCGGATGCATAGTCTCAGAGATGACTTCACATCCTTCCCTCTCGGTCCTCTTCTAGTTATCTCCAGAGTATGTAACTGAAGTAGCAGTAACATCTTAAGTGGCTTTCTTATCTTGAGTTCCCACACAAAAGTCTGTTTTCCTTTTTTCAACAAAATTGGTCTCATGCAACACAGTCTTTTTTCATACTTGCTATCATTTTGTTTGCTCTCCAAATTGATCCTTTTCCCAGAAATAGTTATGTCACATACTTAGGTTTGATTGTAAGATTATATCATAATTTACAGGGAAAAGGCCAATTTTTAGCTGCACATAAAGAGATAATAGGGATAAAAATAGGCTTTTCATTCTAGAGTGGTACCAGCTGATTGCCAGGTAACTGAGAGGAGTAGTGTCAACTGAATTTGTTGATGCAGGAGAGCTTGATTCTGCTCTGTGAAAACTTTGATCCCATCAAACCGAAACTGAAACTTTTTTGGTAAGGAGAAAAAACACCTGTGATAAGAACTTTGCTTCACTTTGGCTGTGAAGATGTTCTTTGCAACATATACAGTGCTATGTAACTTCTTGCTTTTACAGTTTGTCCATGCCTCGGTGCCTTCTAGAGGTGTTAAATAACTTTCCAAATCAAATATAATTAATTGACTTTATTTTAAGCTTTCTTTCACTATGTACATACATGTGTGTGTGTGTGTGTGTGTGTGTGTGTGTGTGCGTGTGTGTGTGTGTGTGTGTGTATACAATACTGCTAAAAGTTCTTGGGACATTTGTCCTAGAACAGTGATGGCGAACCTTTTTGAGCCTGAGTGCCCAAACGGCAACACAAAACCAAATTATTTATTTCGAAGTGCAAATGGTGCAGAGGGCAGAAAAATCTTTTCATCAAAGGCTGTTTTAAGACAAACATGTTTAGGGGTTATTTGTTAATTTCCTTACTTACCAGAAAAAGACATTGCAGGGCCATATTTGGGATTAAAAATAGAACTATGTGGAAAATGCCTTAAAATTACTTCCACCTCCCACTCTGTCAAACAGAAAGCAATTTGTAAGGCTGGCCAGAAAAAAATCAAGTGTGTACCATAATACAATCTTAAGGAAATCCTTTACTGGGTACTTTTGAATGCAATGCAATCCATCAATTGTGATTAGCTTTTGATACCTTTTAAATTCTGGTTTTATGAGTCAAGTCTCTCTGTGTCTCTCTTTCTCTCTCACACACACATTGGAAGGTTCCTTTTTTCATGGTTTTATGAAGGAGTCAGTTTCTCTCACACACGACCTCCCTCGCTAAATTTTAAGCAATCATTTGCATCAGTTCAGCATGCCCCTGTTTCCTTTCATTACATTTAAACAAGCTGATGAATCCACCTGTCCCTCTCTCGCACCTTCCTTCCCGCCTTAATTGGAGATTTCTCTCCTGCTTGGAGTCACCTCTAGGGGAAGTAGTAATTCACAAGCCAGAGTGACTGCCCTGGGCTGTTCTATGGCAGAAAACAATAAAGCAGTCTTATCTCTGATCTCTAAAAGAACTGATTTACAAGTGCCACAACCAAGGAAGGTAGCAGGGATAGGTGGCTTACAATCATGCAGTTTGAGGTTCAGCTGTGGGGGTGGGAGGGTAGCACTCTGCTTGCGTGCCCAGGGAGAGGTCTCTGCATGCCAGCTGTAGCACACATGCCATATGTTCGCCATCACTGTCCTAGAATATAAACTACGTGACAACGATTCAGTACAACAGAGGTATGGAAAGTATCAGAAGAACTAGGCAACTTTTCCTTTGTGTGACCAGGGCCTCAGCCTTGAAGAAAGGTCATCTATTTATAACTGTTAAAGTTCCTTTTTAATTATTGCTCTAAAGGTTGCAAGGCACATCTTTGGAATACTTTGATTTTTAAAAAATAATAACTTAACCTTTCAGTAACTGACAAAAATAGGAAGGGGAAAAGACACTAACAGAAGAACTAGGCAACATTTCCTTTGTGTGACCAGGGCCTCAGCCTTGAAGAAAGGTCATCTATTTATAACTGTTAAAGTTCCTTTTTAATTATTGCTCTAAAGGTTGCAAGGCACATCTTTGGAATACTTTGATTTTTAAAAAATAATAACTTAACCTTTCAGTAACTGACAAAAATAGGAAGGGGAAAAGACACTAACAATAGCACAAAGATAAATCCTACCTTCCGGGAACATCTAATCTCATGTATACATTTTCGTTTCTTTAGTAGGATTGTGTCATTATCTGTGTTATGATTAGTACTTAGAAACTTGCAACTTTGTCTAGTACTGAGCAATATTTAAAACTGGAAAGAGAATCCTTGTTCTAAATATAACTAGGAGGCAAGCTGATGAAACAAACTTGTATAGAGTACATGGTCCAATATGTGGAAAGGCCACATTTTAATCTAGATTCTGTTTTTCTAAGAATAAAATAGAGGTACTGAGGCCAGAGCAGAAAAGAAAATCTTGCTTCTTTGAGCCATAACTCCCAGAACCTTCCACCTAGTGTGCCCATTGCTGTCTATGTGGTTTGAGGAGAAAAAAGTAACTTTTCCAGGCTAGGCCATTTTGTATGACAGACACAGCTTCTAAATCCCCTCTGCTGCATAAGGGGGAAAATCTCTATAAATTTGAATCATGTTGCTCTCTATAATGCTATCTGGCTCCATGTTCTAACTTAGAATGGATGCATGAGCAATCCATCACACTCAAATGACTGAGCAAGTGCTTCTGTACAAAGGAGATGGATGCGTCCACTGGAGGTCATGCACTCAAAGGCAGCACTAAAGCAAGGCATTCCTATTTGCTGCGTAATGCATGAAGAACATGTCATTTAGAATATTTGGTTTCACATGATAAAATAAGCTAACATTTGCTGCTCTTTAGCTTAGGGAGACATGGTGGGACTGCGGGTTAAACCACAGAAGCCTCTATGCTGCAAGGTCGGAAGACCAGCAGTCGTAAGATCGAATCCACGTGATGGAGTGAGCGCCCGTCGCTTGTCCCAGCTCCTGCCAACCTAGCAGTTCAAAAGCATGCAAATGTGAGTAGATAAATAGGTACCACCTCAGTGGGAAGGTAACGGCGTTCCGTGTCGAGTTGCGCTGGCCATGTTACCACGGAAACTTTTTACAAACAAGTGCTGGCTCCATGGCCAGTAATAACAGATAAAACCATCATCTAGCTAATAAAATGATATAAGCATGCCCCATTGTAAAAATCATCAATATATTTTGAAAATGATTAAACTTGCAAAAGATACTGATCCAAAATGACACTGCAGGGCAGAAATATATAGTGTTATGCATGATGGGGACAAAATGGTTAGAGAGAAGTTTTACCCTTTAAATTAGAATCTGGGTTCACTGGAGATTCATGACAAAGAAAAGTACACTTAGTGCTTTGATAAAGTATGAAATATGACACTGCAAAATGTACTTATATGACCTGAAAAGGTATCAATGGCTATATGTTATTGGAAACTATATCAGGTGCAGTTATGCCTCTGGTCACGAGACACTGGATAGCAAGTTCAGGAGGATGCTGTTGTGTTTACATCCTGTTGTTGGCTTCCCATAGATAGCTGGTTAGCAACTCTGTAAAACAAGGTGCTAGACAACATATATCTGTAGTTTGTTCCAGTTGTTCCAAACAAACAAACAAAAAACCAAGGCATTTACAAATTTCTCTTCAATAAACATAAGGAAATACATCTTTTGTCACTAGTTTTAATTTTCACTTGTGTTTCTCATATAGCTTTAATATGGAGGTTGATGAATCAAGTGAACCAAATCGACACGTGGAGCAAAATATTCTTCAAACAGAGATCCAAGCTTCCTCTGACTATATGGTGAATTGTATTCCTTGCTGCTTTGACAGGGCAAACAGAAATTATTTGAAAGAGCACCCTGGAACCACTTCAGCCACTTTGCAAACTGTAGATAAGGTCTCTTTCAACAAACAGATGTTAGGACAAACTGAAGAAAAAGACCAAGTATTGGTACAATCTCAGAAAAAGTTATTAGGAGCAGGAAAAAGATGGAATCCAGACGGAAAACTGGAAACCATGTTGGAAATTGCTAAGACTTTGGCAAAAGACAAAAACACCATGTCGGATGAAAAAAGGGACACGCATATAGCGTTTTCAGAACATAATATTTGCCCTGAACCCACAAAGGGAAATGACATTACTGCTTCAAGACTGAAAGAACCAGTTTTTAATATCCTAAAGGAGATCTGTGAAAGCACAACAGAGAGCAGTATAACAAATCTGTACGTTCAACAGATAATTCAAGCATTTTATCCGTGGCTTTCTAAAGATGAAGGAAGCTTTTTGTTCCAGGACTATACAGAAGACCATCTGAAAATCGGAAAACCTGTGTCAGGCTTCACAAAGGTAGTATACCACATATACAAACAATCAGCAATATTAACATTGCTTTAAAATGTTTTGTGTATAAAAATGGTTTGTAAACACACTACAATTAAAAAGAAATTTCAATAAAGAACTAATCTAAATTATTCAACTTGCATGGCCTTGATAATATTTAAGAGTTATTGTTTAGTAAGGAGAAATACTTTTAAAAGCCAATTGAAAACATGGTTGTACATTCAAGCCTTCCCTCTTGTCAGTACCTGATTTTATTTTCTCACTCTCTTTATTTATTTCCTCTTCTATTTGTATTGTAATTTCCTATTGGATGTTTTTATGTAGTATTCTTGGTTTTAATGCTTACGCTATGTTTTAAGCCGCCTAGAGTGGTCATATAGACCAGATGGACGGGGTATCAAATAAATAAATAAATAAATAAATAAATAAATTAGTCCTTAAATTAATTTTACGGATGAGGAAAACAGCCCAGCTAAAAAGAAAACAGTTAACAAGTTTTGGGAGTAGCTTCCAGTTCAAGGTACTGCCTGCTTTTAATCCCACAGATTTGGCTTCAATATATGTATCTTTACATATACAAAAGCGATACAAAAGTATTGATCACTGCATTATTCCTGCAAAAATCAGGCTTGAAATGCATATGGGTTGCACAGAGTTAAATTAGATCAACGGCAACAATAGGTCTCTATTTGGGTTTAAATTGTAGAAGTTTAGGAAAGAAAATGTTTCCTTTGTTACAGGACATCTTCTTCCCATAACAATAACACACCTGAATCCCATCATCAGTTCAATGAAAATACAACTTTAGTGTTCATAACTATACATTTATTCAGTCTGCAGAACCAACCAACGGTGAAGACAATGGAAGTGCAACACTTGTTGGCACGGAAAATATACAATCCTGCTGTTTTTCAGTGGTTCAGCAATGGCTCATCAATCAACAAACTACTGAGAAAGGGAATGGTAGGAGGATGCTTTTCTTAGAGAAAGGTAAGACTTGGTGTCATATGGCTAGTAAACCTGTGTAGTGGGATAGGATTTTTTGTTTTTACTTTCTTCTGGGATGTTTATCATGACATGACACAGTTGCTCAAATTTTCCAGAAAATGTTAGTGATAGGAGATGGCTAGGAAACTCTGACCATCACTGGCAGTGATCTTTTAAACTGTCCTGTCTAGGGAAGAGACCTCTGGGCATCATTAGGGCTTTTCAGTTCTTATGACACTGGCTTGCATTTAGTAGAATGCAGTGCATCCTGCATAGACGAAACAGACAGGAAAGGAACAACTTGGAAGATATTAGGCAGGCTCAGAGACTGGCTGAAATATAATTGGCTAGATGTGTCATACAGAGCTCTTCTGGATTCCCTGTTGTCTCTCTAATTCCCTTCTCCATCATTCTGTCCTTGTCTTCATTTGCTTCTGATCTACAGTTCAATTCAGCTGGAGGAAATACGGACTCCTGTTGCTTGTTGTTGGCATTCACCATCTGTCCCTATTCTGTGAGCATTATTCTCTCTTTGCCCCACTTTCACTTTTAACCCTAGAAGCATTCAGTTAAGATTATCTCCAAATTCCATGTATCCTTTCCCCCACCTAGTCAAACTACCTTGTCCTTGGTGTACCTTCATTGTAAGTATGCTGTCGCTTGTGCATCACGTCAGCCCAACCGATTGCCAAAGGGCTTGGGAGCAACTGCTAGGCGTTTTATCCTGTTGTATCAGGAACAGAACACTCTGAGTTGCAGATTTTCTTAGAATGTCATTGTATGCAGCAGCCCTAGGAACATCACTGTTGATGACTTAAGTATGTATTGTTGAGTAGGAAGGTAAGTGAAACTGTTGCTAGGTATAATCAGATTGGATTGCTTGGATGTGTTCTGATGCGTTATGGTTGCCAGGTTGTTATTGCCTGAGCTAGAAAAAAGCAAACACCTAATTTCTCAGGCAAAGAGGGTAGTGACAATTTTCACAAAGTTTCTTCATTTCTAGCATTTATCATCTTGCCCAAATGTATTGCTTAAGGAACTCTCTGATTGCAAGGTTGTGTTTGCTTAATGTCTGCAGATGACAAATATTCTGTGCAAGAAGAACTCATGCTGGATATGAAAAACAGAAGCCCCTGTAAGGTAAGTAACTAAGATTGCAAGTATCTCTTTGTACTGTGCATTTGAAACTAATCTCTATGTTTCGTCTAAGCAAATAATTGTCTCCAAATGTGGCTGTAATGAAACAATCCACCACCAGAAAAATCAGGATTAGTTACAGCTTTTTTATCTCAGCTTCTAATTGGTATAGTCAGTAACTTTAATGTACCCTTCTTTGTGTTGACAGTAAACTAGTGCTTTTCCCAGATGTTGTAAAACAAATCCTGCCCAATCCAGACGATAATTTAACAGCAGCAAATATAACCATGGAAGATCATGAAAACTGTCAGTGAAGGCTATGAGAGATTTCTACTGATGATGACTACATAGCATTTTCAGTTTCAGATACAATATAGCTTTCAATACTAATTGCTAGAGTACATTAGCATGGGACTGCTTGTGGGCTTCTCATAGGCAAACTAGTTAACCACTGTAGGAGTAGAATGTTGGGCCAGATAGGCCTTCTAGTCTGATACAAGAGGAAGCTTCTTAGGTTTTCAATGGCATTAAGGACTTTCATAGCATAGTCTTCAAGGCACATACAATCAAGGGCTTTGGTGAATTTGAGGTTTGACTGTAATCTGTGCCTGAATAAGGGGTCCCCTGGGCAGTGTGTCAATGCTGTGCTGTCTTCATTTGTATGAGACATTGAGTGTGAGAAATGTATGAGTGGATTATATCAGAAGATTGTCCAAGCATTATTGCCAATAAGAATGACGAACGATCCAATGATTAGGAAATAACTGTATCAGTTATATGGGGACCGATGTCTTTGAAAAAGAAAATACAATAGCAAAAACATTTAATGCTTGAAATCCACTGCAGTAACATACATCAGACTTTAAGGCAGGGCTGGGAACATATGCCCCTCCAAATATTGCTTAAATTCCCATCAGCTCCTGCCAGCTTGGCTGATGGTGGTGGATTATAAAGAGTGGTAATTCAACAACATTTGGGGTGCACAGGTTTCCCACCACTGCTTTGAGGAAAAAATCTTCACCTGAGTAAAGAATAATCCAACAGACTCTGGAAAGCTGTCTGCAAGTAACCAAAAAAAGGGCTAACCCTTAAAAGTAGTCAGAGGTGATCCAGGAAGTAAGAAATAACATTTTTTTGCTAAGGAACCAAGTCAAGAGAGAAAATCACAATGAAGGGAAGGACCATGAAGCAAAATTGAAGAGCAAGGACCAAAGACCAACCAAAAAAATGGTAGGAACACACCAAAAGTATATATATATATATATATATCAGGAAGGCTGTCCTTAATTTAATTTTTAGTTAAAATGGGCACTCGTCCTGTACCCCTTTCTGTCAAGGACAATACAATGGTCAGTGTAGGTTGGCAGAGCCCATGCGGGGTCTGTGAATATTTCAGTTTGTTAGGTATGTAAATTCTGCAACCTGCAATTTGGAAGCTTACCATCATGCTAGGCATACACACAGAGAGATCCCCTATCGCTTTTAAACTCAAAGGTTCTTGATGGAGTGAGGGGGAGGGAATGCAAGCTGTCTTCACACATCTAGGTTGATTTTTTATTTGTTGAATTATTTTGTTGTAGCATATGGAAGGTGTGAATGCTGCCCATCATTCAGTGAAGTCATTTTAATCAGCCTAACTTCTTATATTCTCGTATCTGTAGTCTGTTTTACAGCTGAAATAGACCACTAGAATTTTGATGACATGGCCCAGCACTTCTAAAATTTGACTGCAAAACTGACAACTGATTGAATCAAGGCTTAAATTACTTTTAGTACCTTTGTAATATAAAAATCCAAGATTTCTCATCTTACATGTTGTAATAATCCAGCTTTCTTTATTTTATTGACCCTGTAAGCTATGGAATAGCTTTTTTTAAAACTTTAACAGTTTTGGTTTACATTGCCATGTCTCTTCCCAGGAGAGTAGATTCTCTTGCTAATGATTAGAGACGAGTGGTCCCCAGGCCTCTGTGAATTTGACTAAGAATAACATCTGTCACTACCAAGAAACTGTGTGTAAAATTAGAATTTCTCAGAGCAGACTGAGAACAAGATTTGTTTATGTGTTGTGATTTTAAAATAGAATCACATTAGAGAGTTCACTTGATTGTTAGGGTCTCTTTTCTAGACACGTGTGGAGACTTTTCTGGTGAAGAGCCCAAGTACTGTAACCCACAGTAACTGTAAAGTACTACATCACTGTTGTGTTTGCTAAGTTGTTTAAATTGGAGCTAATATAAAAAGGTATTTATAAATGGATTGCCCCCTCCCCCGGGTTCCACTGTACACGTTTCTGAAGTGTGTGGAGCTGCATATTCAACAGTTTTTACTTTTAGAAACAGCACATTTAGGGACAGTTGTGGTGGGAAACATTTACTGATATCAAATGACATGCATTACCTGATGAAAGATTTCACTGGTGATTTGTGACAAAGGCAAATTGTGCCCTTGTCACAAATCACCAGTGAAATCTTTCATGTAGTACTTGTACAGATTGTGCTTTTGACTATGCTAGAATGCTTTCTCACTTGCAGTGGATTCTTGGAGAGAATGGGAAAAAAGATTATATACGTGCCTCTATTTGTAAACAAGGGCTGAAGTCCAGTAGCAGAACTTAGACTGTGTAAGGCTCACCAGCTGTGGTGATTTTTCAGAAATTAAACATTTCCTATTCCTCTCACCTCTAAAGATTCTGAGGCCCCCAGGGGATCCCTTTCATCCTGAGGATGCTGTTGGGGTTTCAGGAAATCACTGTGACAATTTTCAGAAATTAAATACGTCCTGCATCCCCCAAGAGCTTCACCACAACTAAAGAGATCCCAAGCCAGATCGAAGTGAAATTAATAGTAAAACCTAGTGGTTGAAAGCAGATGTTTTCTGCAGTCACGCTTGGCTGATGATAGAAGTCCATTTTGTCTTCTAGATGATGTTCTGGGCATCATTCAGGGTATCCTCTATATTCCAGAAAATGCAAACAAAGCTGTGTGGTCCTTACACAGCACAGAAGCAGTTGGCTTCAGTTGGCTTCACCTAGTGGGTAGACTCAATTTTATTTCCAGTTATCTGATGCTACATTTCTGAGTAACTGTACCCCCACCCCCTGCCAAATAGGAACTTTACATTTCAGAATAAGGCAGTTGAGGGGCAATGCTGAATACCTGGAACTTGTTCACTTGAGAAAGAGAACCCAACCAATAGTGAGGGTGGAATGCAAAACCCAGATTCCTTGCAGCTTGCTTTTTGTCACTCATTGTTAAAGAACAGACCGTGCACAAACATCTGCCATGACTTTGAGACTTTCATGTGGCTTTTTTCTGCACTATCCACAATATATAGGTGCATGGCCCAATAGAAACTGGTATATGTGAAAAGCTAGCATTTTTAAAAGATTTATTGGTGGTCTGATAAAGGTATCTGATAAAGCCTTCGAGAATACATTGTATCACCTTTCCTTGCTTTTGTATTGTGTAAGGACTGCATGGCTTTGTTTGCTTTTTCTGGTCCACTTAATGAAAGCTCAGTAGACTTCTAGTGAAGTGACCAATGGAAATGTGCAGGCCATTTTTACTTAGAAATTTTTTGTGTGTTTTAAACTTTGGATTGCTTTTGTAAAAGATATATTTTTTCAAAATCTTAGAACTTTCTTGCATGTCAGTTTTCTGTTACTTGAATGACAGTGGAGACCTATATGCAGTGGTGCCTCAACTTATGAACTTAATTGGTTCCAGAACTCCAGTCGTAACTCAAAATGGTTGTAAGTTGAAGCACTGTTTCCCATAGGAATGCACTGAAATGCAATTAATTCATTCCGGCCAAATAAAAAACTCACAAAAAAACCCACTGCAAGACCCATTGGAAATGTGATTAATCTGTTCCTGCCAAAGGAAAAAAGAAAGAAAAGAAAAGAGAACAGACACTGCAAGACACTTTGGAAATGCAAAAAAAAAAAAGCAAAGCAAAAATCAAACAAACACTGCAATACCCATCGGAAATGCAAAAAAAGAAAACTAAAAAGCAAACAAACCCTGCAAGACCCATGGAAAATGGGGGGAAACCCAAAAAGCCAACAAACCCTGCAAGACCCATCAGAAATGTGAAAAAACCCAAAAAACAAAGACTGCAAGACCCATCACAGCACAGAAACATAATCCCCCCAGCCCAAAACCATGCTGCAAAACCCACCCAAAACAGTTTTTAAAAAGCAGAAAGCAGCACCTTACCTTACCAGGCAGCCCGAAGCCTCCTCCAATCGCACACTCTCTAACTGCTGGGGTGAAAGAGCTACAAAGAAGCAGCCTCTTTGCCACCAATGGTTAGCAATTTGAATTCCCCGCCTTTTTCCCTGCCTTTTTTTGATTGTAACTCAAAGCTCTGGTTGCAAGTCAAAGCAAAATTTTGCGGCTGGACCTGGTCGTAACTCGAAATGTCGGGATGTTCATAAGTGAAGGCACCACTGTATTACACATCTGCTTACTGATAAGTCTTATTAAGGGGCATAGTGCTGGGGAATTATATATAGAATTACAGAGTCAGTAATCTCTACACTTGAAAAAAATGTAATCTAATTTGCCTTCATTTAATTTCCTAGTCTGTTTATTATATAAGATTTTGTTTGATTTAACTTCCTAGAATAATCTTTATTATATATGATTTACCGTATCTTGAAATTCTGAGCTCATAGAGAGAATTAAACTTTACTTTAGGGAGTTTCAGAGTTTGGATTCTTACACATTCCAGGCTGCTTTATTAACCCATTACCTTTTGATTAACCCTTACATTAGAAAAATGGGGCAGAAATCTCAAAAATTAGCATTTTAGAAGAAAGAAAGAAATGCTGCTCATTATTTTGTAAAACGAACAGTGTTATGCTTTCGCTCTTCTGAAAGTAGCACATTACAGAGAATGCTATTGCTTGTAACATATTAATTCTGAATTTTGATTCTCATACTATCAGGCTATTATAGTTGTAAATTGTTGGGTTGATATGTTTATAATGTTAAATG